GGAGCATGTTAGACACTGCTTCTGGCTTACTCAGGAATTCCGTTATCTGTCACAGACTCACACCAACCATGAAGATAAACTGCAGGTAAAAAATAGCACCAATTCCTGGCATTTGCTGCCCAAGGCTTCATGACCCTGAAGTGACCTTATAAAAAGAGTCAGAATGGTGAACTAGCTTTGTGTCTGGTTGAGTGACAAAGCTACAAGCCCACAGGAAGCCGTGCCTTTGTCATATTGCTTAGGCACTGAAAGTCTTTGGTACTGAAATAGATAGACTTTTGATCCCTGGCTTAACCACCAGCCAGGGGCCTGGAACACAATGCCTGGCCCTTAGTGCAGAGCAGGACTGAATCAACACTCAGATCAGAAGGGGGTGTTTTCAGAGGCTTGGTTTGAGTAGTGACTTACACATACTGTGTGTGGCTCACACCCGCATTCCCAGCTACTCTATCCAGAGGCTAAACTACAGCAAGATCAAAACAACAGTGAGTTAATGCATTTGCCTCATATTTGAAACCTGCAGTAATTGTTAAAGTCTGAGTGGCCAAAACCAGTTACAGAACAAAAAGTTTTCCAGACAAGGCCTGGAGTGGGGGAGAGTTGGGGCGAGAAGGAAAGTGTGTGTGTCTCGGTGCGCCAGTGTCACACTGGTCCCCAGGAGCCGGGGCCCGTGGCATTACATGTTGAGTATTAACTTACACTCTGAAAGGAGAAAATAAAGTTGTGTGCGCTAAGGTTTATTCTTCGTGAGGGATTTGGGGTTTAATGAAGCAATCATTTTCTTCTGTCTCCTTAGGTGAAGAATGTTATCTACCACGCAGTGAAAGACGCAGTTGCTATGCTGAAAGCCAGCGAAGCCAGTTTGGGCAAACCTTAACTCCTCTCTGACATTGGAGATGAATTATTGGCAGCTGATCAAACTCTTCAGGCAGGCTTCCTGTGGACTTTGAGATTTCATGTTACCTCATCTTCTTTTTTAAAGTACACCCAACTTGCAAGGGTACTGTCTCTAATGTATATTTCTAGTGTTTACAGACACTAAGTGTGTATATGTAGTAACTATTACAGACCACGCATCCTTATACTGTGACTTCACCTAGAGCAGATCTTCTATCTAGCTGAAGACCTGTTGGCTCTGAAACAATACTTGCAGTTATTCCTCAGCTGTTTATTTGGACAGCTCATTCAAATGGATTTTTTAACTATTAGGGATCACTGCTAAGTTTAATGGGATTTTATTTTATTTTATGTCCGTCGGAGCACCCTCCCCCACCCACTAGGGTCCAGAAGAACAATGGAGGAAATGACAGCTAATGGTGCAGTTCTAAATGTATTGCATAGGACTGGCATTATATAGCAGAAATAACTACTGTATAATTCTTGGGGTTAACCATCTTTTAGTTATTGGAATTTTAATTTAAATGAAGCTTTGCTAATTTTAAGTGGTAAGCATTTTGCATTAAAATATTCATATAATACTTTGGCTTGGTTCATTCACATTTTTCTGTTTGCACACCTTCTAGAAAATGTAAGCCTAAATTATTGGTGCAAGAGCCTTTCCTAAAGGAAATATTCATGATTTCTTAGTGATTAATGCAACAGCACTGGTCTGACCCACTTTTGTGAAGAGCGACAATATTTGGAGATTGGAACTAACGCAAACCCAAATAGGAACTGCTAACTGGACAGTAAGTTGTGTGTCTTCTGGTCCTGTGTGTACAAATAGGAACTGCTAACTGGACAGTAAGTTGTGTGTCTTCTGGTCCTGTGTGTACAAAGCAGGAGAGGCAGGGTTGGATGGGTTAGGACAGTTACACCTAATATCCCTATCTCTGGCAACACTGCTGAAGAAGATACCTTTCTGCAGCCCCTCTCTTGGGCTGCTGTAACTGCAGAAGGGATTTGTTCATCACTGGGAAGTAGACAAGGTCTAGAGTGCAGGTATGATCCAGATTTAGGGTAGACCTTCCTGCTTCAAATAATCCAGTTAAAGAAATCCTTCACAGGCCAGCCCCAGCAACTTGGGTTTTAGTTGACTTCAGCTGTAGTCAAACTGACACCCAAGATTTGCCATCACATACATAGGAGAAGACTCCCCCAAACTTGGCAAGATACAATAATGGATATTTAAAAGTAAGACTGATTAAAAAAAAAAAAAAAATGATAACTTTTGTCCACAGAAGCAGAAGGCTAAGAGATCTTGGACATAGTCTGGTGAGTACGCAAGGCCCAGCGTATGTATGGCTGCTGTCTGGAGTGGCTCAGTAGAACGGGGACTTCCCGGAGCTACTGATCCAAGCCTCTCAAGACTCTTAAGCCACAAGAATGTGCCAAGTTAAGTTGATGGTCTGATCTGAGGGAAAACACTTGTAAAATACAGCTAAGAATTAGAATACATACAGATCTAAACCCATTTACTTATTTTTGTAAAGAGACAGGAAATATTTAAAGAAATAAGCCAAAAGAAAAAAAAAAAGTGATCTGGAGAAAAATTGCCAAAACAACAATGACTCAAAGCTGACTAAATCTGCCCTCTACTTCTCAAAGATGGCCTTGACTGGCCCCTAACGCAGATCCGCCCACCTCTGCCTACCATGTGCTGGGATAAATGTGAGCCATCACATCTGCTCTTCAGCTGGGTGCTTTATAAAAACAGGGTTATTTAGCTCAGTTTTAGAGGCAGAAGCCAAGGCGATGGCAGCCATGACAGTACAGTGCATGGAAGAGGTAGAGAATGGCCAATGCCAGGAGAAAAGACATCAACAAAGCAGACGAAACTTCTCAAAAGCCCTGTGGATTTGATGTCAGTCTCATATACAAAGTATAAGAAGAAAGTTAAAAATCAACACTACCCTTATGAATACGCAGAAAAAAATCCAGGTGAGAAATACACGTTCAAATGCAACAAGATGTTTTTTAAGATAGAATGACAGAAAAATACCAGCTTGATATTAGAGTATCCACATCCAACCTCACTTTTTTCTTTTTAAAAACAGGGTTTCTCTGTGCATCTCTGAGCCATCCTGGAACTTGTTCTGTATAAATCAGGTTGGCCTCAAACTCAGATCTGTCTGTTTCCTCCAAAGCCCTGGGACTAAAAGCATGTGCCACCGCCACCCAGCTGCGTACATAGACATACCAAACAGTTTGGGCTGAACATAGATATTGTCCAAAGTTATACACACTCCAGGAGCTGATGAGATGACTCATGGTAAAGACATTTGTCACCAAACCTGACAACCTGAGTTCAATTCCTGGAACCCATTTGGTGAGCGGAAAGAACCAAGTCCTTCAAGGTGTCCTTTGACCTTCACACATACACGAAATACATGTTAATACACTCCAAAAGATGTGTTGCTTTGAACAAAAGTATACAACTAAGTGGCAATATACCATTTTGTGTAGTTACTGCTGCCTTTTTGTCAATCCATACAGAAGCCCTGTACTCAGCAATACTCCACCCCTTTTTTGAGACATGTCTCTATAGCTCTGGTGGACATGAGAGTTAAGTAGACCACATGGCCTTGAACTCATATCCACCTGCCCTTGGGGTACTGGAATTAAAGATGTGCCACTGGCCTGGCCTATATACCCATTTCACCTCAGCTCTTATAGGCTCTGGTACAGTCCCTCCCTCCCCTTCCCCTACCTTTCCCCTTTTCTCTTAATTGGTATAGTTATTAAGTTTAAGTTACCAGTGTCAGTTTAGTCTTGAGGACTATGCATTTCTTGCAGGGGAGATGCAGAAGCACCAAATAGCTTTGGTTTTCCAGGAAATATTTAGTGTCCGTATCTCCCCCCCCCCCCCGTTATCCTGAAGGGACTTTTGCTGGACAGTTCTTCCTTCCTTCCTTCCTTAACATTCTAAAAATGTTATTCTACTGTCTCCTGGACAGAGTGGTTTGTGTTCAGAAAATGTGTACATCTTACAGAATATTCCTTTACCTACTCTTTGGTAGCTTTAAAGATTCTTTTTCTTCTGTAGCCTTTGCTGTCACATGTCCAAGTGTGAGTCCCTTAGAGGTTAAGAGTTTAGCATGCCGTTGTAGGAATCTTTCTGGAATAAATGTCACCAGTGGGTGGAAGTCAGGATATCCCCTGAAAGGCCTCAGAACTGCATCCAGTTTGAATTCTTAGTCTGTGCTCTAAAACCACAAGGTGGGGTAGGCAAGCAAGAGTGTCAGGTTGTTAAGGACTGTGGTCCATTGTTTGAGCTTTTCCTCCAGGTCATTTTGTTCCAGGTAGCAAGGGAAGTCATGTGCTTGGCAAGAGCCAGTATGGGGCTAGTGAACCTTCTCTCTGTCCCTTTCATTCGGATTGTCCCCCCACTACCGATAGAGGTAGGTCTTTCCCCCTTGGCGCTTCTCTCTGGAAATGGCTCAGCAGTGTCTCTCAATCCAAGTAGGTAAGATAACCATTACATAGATACATAATTATATATTATACATAGATAGATTATATAAATGTATGTTTTTAATAAATATAGTTATACTGGCATAAAGCCTTTCAATGAATGATCCTGAACAACTGCATATCCACATGCAAAAAAAAAAAAAAAAAAAAAAAAAAAAAACACAAATCTACACACTGACTTTAACATTCTCCGTACAAATGAACTGGAACTGGATTACGGACCCCAATATAAAACACAAGGGCCAGCAAGCTGGCTTAGTGAAAAAACATGCTTACCTCCAAGCCTGACCCTCATGTCTGATCCTGGGAGCCCACATGGTGGGAAGAGAACCAACTCCTACAAGTTGTCTGCTGACCTCAAAATGTACATTGTGGCCCACACGCATTCCACCATAAACACATGAACTAAAACAAGACAAATTACTAGGTAACAAATTTTAAATGAGTGTTTGCATGTGTGTGTATACTTGAGGGTTGAACCCAGGACCTTGTACATGCCAGGCTAGTACTCTACCACTGAGCTATATCCCCTGTAGTGATACTTTCTTTTTAAAAAAACAAAAAACAAAAACACCAAAGGCATGATATACAAAAATAATTGAGAAGCAGGGTTTTATTAAAAGTAAAAAACTTGAGCTTTGAGCAACTCAATGAGAGAACAGACCAGAGAATAGGATAAAATCTGATAGACAACTGGTCCAAAATATGTAAGAGGACCTTAAAATCGAATTAATCAGAAAACAATCCGTTTATAAAATGAACAAACACCAACAGTAAGTAAATACAGGTGGCAAGCTGGGCATGGTGGTAGAGCAGAGAGGTCATGAGTTCAAGGCCACTATTTCAGCATTTTCAAACAGAATAACAGAGAAGGCAAGTATAAAAACAGATGCCCAGCATACTTCATCAGGGATTACAAATTGACAAAATACCAACATAACAGAAATCCCTCATGACAAATGCTGCCAAGGATGCAGAATGGCAGAACTTCCTCCTAGGAGGTAGAGAGTGCGCTATGCAAGCGCCAAGTATGTGCTGACCACATGATCCCATGGTTGAGCTCCCTGGTGCCCATAGGAAGCAGATGCACACACAGGGACGCACTACTTCAGGTTGTAGTAATCCCCAGACTGACAGACAGTCCACATGCCCTTCAGGACAAGTTATGGTACATCTAGCCTATAATGCTGCTCAACGAGGAGAGCTAAACAAGTCATGAACCCACACAGAGGAAACTTAAATGCCTATTACCACACGAGGGAAGATAGTCTGAAAGGCTGGAAAAGGAAAACCCTTAGAAACAGTAGATTGACCCAGTGGATGCCACAGGATCAGACGGGATGAACAGCACATAGGGTTGTTTCAGGGTAGCAAACAATGGCAGATACAGGCTGTTGTGCATTAGTGTTTGTGACTTCAGCAAACTGCTGTCTCATTTGTGAAGACTGCATGAGATCATGCAAGCCAAAGAGTTTTTCAAACTGTCGCAAAGTGCAACTGCCAGGTTATTTCTCAGGGCATCTCAAGCATGTCCTAGTGTGTATGTTTCAATGCATAAACAAAGCTGCTAGCTAGTTAGCTCTTGTTCATGGTTAGGCTATGTCCCTGTGCACAAGACACTTGGCTCCAAGCAAGAATGGGGTGTAAGAGGCCTGATCCCAGAGTTGTCTATTCTGCATGACACTCGCTCGCCATTCGGAAGAATGACTAACAGCTGTAAAGATAGCCATGTATACCCCAATGCACGATATGTCATCTGGCCAACACAGCGCATTACCAACATCCATTGGCTAAACATGACAACCACATGAGAGTAGTCCCCAAACCCTGTCTGTGAAGATGAGGACCAGCAGCTCCTGGGCAGAAGGCACTTCTGCTGAGCTCCCATGTTCCGATGCCTGGTGATGGCACTTCCTCTTTCTAGGGCCAACACTGAAACATTTGGGAGATCAACACCTTGAGTTCATTGCATGTGACATTTACAGTGAGACCAAGAGCTAAAGTAGAAGTTTATTGACATCCACTTATGCAGTATTTTACACATACACACCAGTAGTAGAGAGTCAACATTCAATTGACTCTTCTCATAATTGCTTCATGAGAAAATGGGTTTCTTCACCCTCCCCAAAGAAAGATACTTCTGCTATTTATGCTCTTGAAAATGATGCATTTGATCACACCACCTTCATAAAAACAATCCTTAAAACCTCTGCAGACAGTGAAGATACACTAGCATAGAACCCTCTCCAAAATGCAATGCTTCACAACAGAGGTGTAGTGCAAGAGAGGCAGGAAAGGATGACCCCTCAGAGGCTGTGCCCACACTAGAGGAGGGCACCAGAGATGAGGCCCCAGCTGGGTGGCCCTAGCTTCGGAGCGTGGCCAGTCGGGACTGCATGGCCTCCAAGTCCTCTTCATCCTCCTCATCCTCTCCCTCTTCTGTGGCAGCCGTTGCTCCTGAAGGCTCAGGCTCAGGAAGGGCGTCAGTTACTTTACTGGGTGCTTTGCCCAAGGCTCCTGAAGAGAGAGAACAGTTGAAAGCACACTGCATACGGAACACGCTCCTCAGTGTGCCCACACTCCTCTGGAGACCGAGGCAGTGGGGCTGCTGTCTGAGTGGGAACTTGCTTCCTCTGACAATGCACATCTCTCAGCTCAGAGAGAAAGATGCGGGTGGACAGACAGACTTCTTATGGTGGACAGACGGTCTTGTAGAGGGTTCTGACCTTCCTCTCCCAAGTAGCTACTACTACAGTAGTGATACCACAAGCACCCAAATCCTAGGAATTGTAGTTTCTAGTATATTGGGCATGGTAGTGTACACTTGAGTCCACATACCTGAGAACAGAACGGTTACTTAGCTCAGGGTTTTGGGTTATCGTGGGCAAAATAGTGAGACCTTATCTCAAAAAAGAAAAGTAAACAAGTTCTAATTCTGAAGCTCCTACTTTCAATTCCGAAATACTACTGAAAAATCTGATTTTTAATTTCTCTGAATAAAGTTTAATTGTTGAAGCAATCCTGAGTGGCACAGGCTTCTAATCTTAGCTCACTACGAAGCTGAGACAGGAGGACAGAAAATAAGGTTTACCTAGACTATAGAGTGAGTTCAAGGCCAGCAAGAGCAACTTAATGAGCCCCATCTCTAAATAAAGGCTGGGAATACAGCTCAGCAGTAGAGTCCTTGTTTCCTGTGTGAGTTCCCACACTCAATCCACAGTGCCTCAGGAAACAAAAGCCAAGTAACCACATTGCTAGCCAGGTGTGGGGTGCACACCTGTGATTCAGTATTCTAGATGAGGCAAGACCACACTGGACTATAAATCAAGACACTTCAAACACCAAAACAAATCCAATAAATAAACAAACAGAAAAATCTAAACTGTTACCAAATTTTCCAAAATATTTTCTCAAAATACCTTCTTCCAACAATGTAAAACAAATAAAGGTTAAATCCTGCCATTTTGTTAAACATAAAGTTCAGAAAACCCAGAATTATAAAGCTCCCAGAAATAACTATTTTTGTTTATTCCAATGTTTAACACAGACATATGTTATACTCAAGTCAGGTCTATACTAACTCAAATTCCTAAATAGCGGTTTTCAGCTAATGTGAAAATTAGAAACTAAAAATCCTTTATTTCTTGAAAACTATAGACATTGCTTTACTGTACATTCCTCAAGAAATACCTTGCACATTCTAACAGGAAAAATGCAGGTGTAGTCCATGCTGACAGACTGAGGGAAAAGAACGGGACGCTCCTTCTCCTGGCCATACCTGCTGTGATTTCAAAGAGGATTCTGTCGATCTCCATTTCTGCTGCCTCTTCCATTTCTTCCTGATCATCCATGCTTTCAAATGTATCCTCTAACATCTCCTCTATGATTCCAGCCTGAATAGAGAACAAAACGTCACCTCCCTCAATGTTAGTTACATCTGTCCCTGACACCCCTAGACAGCACCCAGAGGGAGTGTAGTACTGAGTCTAGAGCACCTTCCCAGGTGACAAGTGACGCAGGCGGAGAGGCAATGCTGGAGAACGGCCTCTCTGCATACGAAGGCCCAAAGGAAAAGCATGCTCTAAATGCAGAGGCTTGGAGGCTGCAGCCACTGGTAGCGGTTCCCGCAGAACCCTGACATGGCAGCGGTCCTCAGGAGCACATCCCTGAGCTGCCTGGAAAGCAACTGCCTGAATACTGTAAACAGGACCTGAGAAGGTAAGGGCTGAGACACAGGATGGAAACTGGTTGGAGCAGTAGGAGACAACAGGCTAAAAAAGGCATGGGCAGGGAAGGAATCTAGGAAATGCTCAAAAACCTGTCCAGCACGGCAGGTCACAGCTACCGGAGTAAGGTTAACCTGGTGGGTGGGTGGCTGTGCTGAGTGTCGATCCATCAAACCCTGATCACCTCTTAAGAGTTGTCAGGAGTTCTGTCCTACAAAGCAAGGCCAGTCACTTCACTGGAAGCCTGTGCTTGGCAGCCTGGTAGTCAGCCTCCTTTTCCACAAAGCAGCAAGGGGGTGGGGAGATGGCTCAGTGGTAATGTGCACAAAAACTAGGGGGCCCTCAAATCTCCATCACCCATTTAAGGAGCTGGGCACTGACAGCCCACATCTGTGCCCAGCACCTGGGGGAGGGAGGGTGTTTTAGCAGAGGCAGGGTGGTCTCTGAAGCTAACTCTGACTCCCTGACCAGCTTCAAGTTCAGTAAGAGTCTGTCTCAAAAAAAGAAGTGTGTGTGTGGGGGGGGGGGGAAGAATAGAGGAAGACACCCAATGCCAACTCTGCTTCCACATGTACATGTTCACATGAGTGTGTACATACCATCATGCAACAGTGTTCACATGTATGTGCATACATGTATGCACAAGCACACACTTTCTAAAAGAAAATAGCTAGGGACCATTGTGAGGCACAAACAAAAGTTCTGCAGAGCCCTGCAACTGTCCTGCTTAAGACTATCTCCAGCTCCAGATGGGGCCACTCAGTGTCCGTCAGCAAGGGGCCAAAAAGCAACCTCCCGTGTCAGAAAGGGGTCCCAGACAAGCACCAGAACGGAACCCTAGAATCCTTGCAAACTAAGAGGCATGGCTCCTTTGCACAACCGGGAGCAGGTGGCAGTGACGGCTCTGGCCTCTGCTCCTGTCCCAGTAACCCATTCACCTTCCTTCCAGTCTCTGTGCTCCCTGACCCGAGGTAGCTCTCCGTGACTGGATCTAGCTAGTGCCTAGCCCAATTCTAGCCCCTTTCCCTACCCAAATGAACAATCTCATGTCATGGTCACCAAGTAGAGCCCTATAGCCTAGCTAAGTGGAAGTTATTTTGATGCTGAAGTCTATTGCCAATACACAGCACTTGGGAGGCTGTGGCATGAGGATTGTTTGTAGCCTGTCTCAAATAAAACAACAAAAGCCCCACAGACTAAGTAAAAGCAAAAATTCAAACAAACAAAAAAAGAGTATTAATAAACAATTACTGATTAGTTAAAAGAACTTAGCAGAATCCAGACTGTAACAGCCCTCCTCATTATGGAGACAGAGGTTACCATTTATTTATTTATTCACTTAATCAGCCTATGCAACAGAGCCAGGCACTGAGAACAAATGCAGTCTGAGAACATGTCCCCGATCTTTCAGAGATGAATCACCATGAACAGCCTCAATATGCACCTGATCATGTATCACTGTTAGCACTCAGTGCTTTGAACCTACAATAAAAAGTTTCCTTCAAACCATGCTTTTAGTGTTCATAAAGCACTACGAAAGAGAGCTTAGAGGTTTGTTTTTGTCTTAATAACTCATTCACTCATACTCTGGTGGCTACCTAAGTTAAAATGTGCAGGCCTGGAGTCACTCACTCCAGGAATTAATGCACAGTGATCTCCAGCCTGAGTGCACATCAGATATAAAGGACACGCTCTCCTGATCCATTCCCTGCTGCTATTGCCCAAGCACTTTCTTCTAAAGAGCTGGGCCCTATCTGTTCTTCTCAGCCCCTCCCCAGTTGCCTGCCCCAGTGCCCAGTGTATGGTGCGTTCACCGGTAACACTCCGGGAAGCAGGAGATCCACACACAGGAATTTGAGTTGTATACTCTTGGTTGTCAGACCACAGGTGTCAACTAAGAAACAGCACTCATAAAAGATGAAAGCTCAGATGATGAGGGCAGACACACCTGTGGTCCAGCTCAAGCCCAAGAGACCTTGGGGTGCCTACCAGCTTCAAGACTCAAGGCCCTGTATAAAATACCCCAACAGAGCACCTGGAGAACAAGACAGGCCAAATGCCATATGCTATCAATTGTAGCTCAGTAACAATGCCCTCCTCTGATCCCTGGCTCTGTCTGGAAGCCACTAATATAGTCCCTGCCACACCCCGTACTGGGGGTGACTGGGACCTATATAATTTCCATTTGGTCTCAGTCTCTCCTTTCTGTGGTTAAAAAAATGCATCAACAACTATAGCCTGCAGAGCAAATCTGGGGTTCCCTAAACAAAGGGTTTGGTCCACAGTCATCTCATTTAAATGTGATCTGGGGCTGCTTTTCCACTGACAGGCAAAATTGTGTGGTTACAAGAATGGCCATCAAGGTGTAGCATGTATTTGTTATCTAGCACTGTAGAGAATTCAATCACCTCCTTTGCCAGCTTCACTAACACCCCCAGGACAGACAGTGCAATGAGTGTTTCCTTGACCGTGCCCCCTGCTGGAGCCCACAGACCCCATCACTGATGCCCCCCCCCCCAAGATCTAGGCATGCTTGTGCTTCTTCCCACACTTACAGCCCCAACCAGCCTCTGTTATGCTTTGCACAAAAATGGTTTCAACCAGGCAACATCTGCTTCTCTTTCCAAAACACTGGAGCAGCCGCACTCTCTCCAGTCACACCCACACAGCCTGAGCCCCAGCCCAGCTCAGAAGACCTCTCAGTGGTTTGGAGAGCTAGCCCAGTCACCTTCATCATCTCTTTGGACAGCTCCCGCATGGTGGCCTGGATTTCTGGGATCTTCACCAGACTCTGCATGGCCTTCATCACTTCTGTGCTCTTTTGCAGGGAACCAGCTACTCTTAGGACCGCTGAAAAGGAAAAGCTGCATCACCCAGGATTGTTCAAAAGACAGTGTGCACAGAGAGCCCAGCTCAAGGCTGCTCTACCAAACTTACTGCCGCACCTTTATGATATATTACTGTGCCAGATGACTGAGAGACCATGCTTTAAAACTAAATCCCATGTAGGTGTGCTGGACAGTTTTATGCCATCTTGACACAAGCTAGAGTCACCTGAGGGGAGGGAACTTTCAATTAGAAAATACCTCGATGAGATCAGGCTGTGGGCAATCCTGTAGGGCATTTTCTTAATCAGTGACTGATGGGGGAGGCCCCGCCCATTGTGTTGTTGGTGCCCGCCATCCCCGGGCTGGCGGCCCTGGGTTCTATAAGAAAGCAGGCTGAGCAACCCACTGAATGCAAGTCAGCACTGCCCCTGCATCGCTTCCTGCCTCTATGTTCCTGTCTTGGAAGTGTAAGCCAAAGAAACCCTTTCCTCCCCAACTTGCTTTTTTTTTTTTTTTTTTTTTTTTGCTGTTACACTATAGTATTTATGGCATGAGCTCTCTGAGCAGTCACACCAATGGGTCACTGGGGAGAGTGGCCTGAAAGGCCATCCCTGCTGGGAAATACCTATAATTCCAGCAACTGGGAAACAGAAACAGGAGGATCATCCTCAGCTTAAGAGTAGCCTAAACTTCCATGGTGAGTTCTAGACCATCTAGGCTACAAAACAGCCAGGCTATAATGCAGGAGTCTGTTAGGGCTACTACTGCTGTGATGAAACAGCATGACCACAAGCAACTCAGGGAGGAAAGAGTTCATTTGGCTTATATATCCTGAGTCAGTCCACTGAAGGAAGCCAACGAAGAAACTGAGGCAGGCAGGAACTGATGTAGAGGCCATGGAGGGGTGCTACTCACTGGCTTGCTCAGCCTGCTTTCTTATAAAAGCCAGGACTAACAGCCCAGTGGTGGCGCCACCCACATGGGCGGGGGCCCTCCCCCATCTATCACTCATTAGGAAAATGCCTTCCAGGCTTGCCTACAGCCCAGTTTACGGAAGCATTTTATTAATTGAGGTTCCCTCCTCTCTGGTGACTATAGCTTGGTCAAGCTGACGTAAAATTAGTCAGCACAAAGACTAAGTCTCAAAAGACAAACAACAATAAAACAAAACAAACACACAATAAAATGGTATAAAGGTTCTTAAAGACAACTAAGAACATGTGGCCTACGTTTAACTTTTGCTTATGCTACATTTGTTTTAACTCTGTGAAGCTGCGATTCTTTGTCTAAACACCTGATGGTCTAATAAAGAGCTGAATGGCCAATAGAGAAAGAGTAAGGATAGGCGGGGCTGCCACTCAGAGAGTATAAACAGGAGGAGGAATGAGGAGGAGCAGGAGCAGGAGGAGGAGGAGCAGGAGGAGGAGCAGGAGGAGGACGGAGAGCAGGAGGAGGAGGAGCAGGAGCAATGAGAGAACAAGGAGAGGAGGTGTCAGGGGCCACCCGGCCACCAGCAAGAGTGAGAGTAAGATTTACAGAAGAGAAAGGCCCAGATGCTAACAGATCTAGCAAATCAAAACCACATTTTATCCTGGAAATATTTATAATCATGGTATGTTAATAAAAATAAATGCATGCCAAGTACATCGGAAAGTATCTCCTCTGAGGTACTGGACTCAAACACATGTATGTATACATGTGTGTGGGCCTGTGTGTAAAATAAAATAGTGTTAGACTAAAACCAAAATCCTTCATGGTAACTCAGATGGTAATACTGAAAGGAGCTACAGGGAATATGGAGCTGGGGCCCCGGATATAATTCCCCCTTCCTGAAAGAATCCCAGAGGTAACAAAGAGAACAATGCTCTGACATGCGTGACACAGCTGTGACTACTCCCAGGGAGTAGACAATAGCTGCATCTATTTCAAAACCACACAGGAAATGGAAAGCAACAATGAAGCAATGATCTTCCACTCACACAGCCGTGAGCCTGTCTATGTATATGCTGCCCCACAATGTCACCCAGATGGACAGAGTGACTCCTCTCTGTAGTGACAACTGTGGGATCTATATATAAAGTGGGGATGGTGTACTTTGAAATACCTGGATATGTGCAGCTGCTCTCTAACCTTTGGTTGAAGGCTCATCCACTGTGGCAGATGTCAGAGTTTTCTCCTCTTTTGAACACGCGTATTACTTTGCATGTTCATGGTGTACACCCACAAGTGCGTGCAGATGAGCATAACCTACACATGAGGAGGCCAGAAGACTCCAGCTTGGTCTTCTACTGCTACTCGCTTTATTTTTTGAGACAGGGTCTCTCCTGAACAAGAAACTTGCTACTTTGGCTAGGCTGGCTATCCAGCTCCTGGGATCTGCCTGTCTCTTAACATTGTCCACCCCATGCTGAGGTTACAGGCATGAGCGGCCATGCTCAACTATTAACAGGTGCTGGGAATTCAAATTCATGCCCTCTTGTTTGCACAGCAAGCATTTGTACCCACTGAGCCATGGCTGAATAATATTCTAACATGTGTGGAAAACATTTTATTTACTTCTCCATCACCAATGAGCATTTTTTGTGTTGCTTCTACCGTTGGGTTACTATGAGTCACTAGGAACATGATGGTACACATCTCTGTTTGAGCACACACCCAGAAGCAGAAGTGCCAGATCATGTGGTAATTCTGCCCCTGCTCCACCTTTGAACCTCTTCCATAACTCTTGCCCAAAATCAAAACATGCTCATCATCTGTCTTTTTCTGCAAGCTGTCAGAAAGCTGTTGCCTGCCAAGTATCTAATCATGGCACTGTATTAATAGCTGACAAGATTTAACATCACCCACCTGGGGACAACTACATTTTAATAGGAGAGTCACGTCAGAACAGTCACAGGTTGGGGCAGGGTGACGGACACTGGAGCCCAGACGGCAAACAGTGCTCGGGAGCTGTGGCTACGATTTCCTTGTTTTCAGTCCTTCTTGATTTCACCCTGTCACCCCTCCGCTGTATTAAATCTCCCAGCATGTAACACTCAGACTCAGCCACTGATATCATGGAGCTAGCCCAGTTAGTCCCAAGTGGAACCTTCCTGTCATAGGCACGTTCATTAATGGTCCGCAGTCTTGCCGGGCTCCATGGTTCACAGCAGCTCCCTGAGCTTGTTCAATCTTTACTAAGGCCTTTTCACTCTGTATCCAGATGTGCTCTTCATTCCATTCCCTGGCTCAGCTTCCCGGTACTTCACATCTCCTCTCAGGCTGCCAGGCCCCATCATTAGCTGCAGACTTCCCCGCACCTGCAGTGTGCTCACAGCAGCCCAGAGCCCTCCATACCCACAACAGGGAGTTCAAGCCCCTCAGCCTCACTCTGACAACTCTGACTTCAAGCTTGCTTTTCAGCCCCACTTTCCAAAGTTCTCCTTAGCGTACTCCTGTCAAACTGTCTCCGGAGCACAGCCTTAAATATTCCAGCTGTCTTTGTGCACTTAATCCTTCCACTCAAATACCTCCCTCATCTCCCCAAAATACCTCTTCCAACTCCCACTGTCCTTTCTCTATCTGTGCTGCACTACAACATGCATCGCTTTCAGCTTGTCTTTAAAAACACTACTCACTGCCCATTCTTTCCAGATACCTCTGTCCCCTGCTCACTACCCCAACCTCCTAGGTCCGCCTTTAGTATTACAAACACCCTGTTCTCTCCTACCCCAGGCTCTTTACACATACAGTCCTCTCAGTTCGGAATCACACACACACACACACACACACACACACACACACACACACACACACTACATCATTTAGCTGACAACCATTTGTAACTCCAGCACCAGGGGGATCCAATGCCATCTTCTAACCTTTGCTAGCACCCACAGCATGTGCATAGACATATACATGAATAGACATAAAATAACAGGGATGGACAGATAAGGATCAGGGTTAAGAGTGCTGGCTCCAATTCTAGGACCTGGGTTCGGGTGTTTGAGTCTCAGCGTACATACATGGCAGCTAACAATCATATAATTCCAGTTCCATTGGATCTGATCCCTTCTTCTGTAGGTACTGCACACACATGGCACACTGACATGCATGCAGGCAAAACACGCATTCACATAAAGGAAAATTAAATCTTTAAAAAATATATACACTAAAAGTCTCTTAAAAATGAACTGATGAATAGAGGACTCTGCTACTCATTTCATATGAAGAGTATATATGAAAACAACTACACGCCGAGAGCAGCAGTCACTAGTGCCTGAGCATGCTTGTGGGCGAGCTCTTCATACATGACCAGACACTTCTCTAAACCAGAGATGTACCCATGCGTTAGACGGTCAAGGTATCTGGCTGTCATGGGAAGATACGATGTATACATTAAGGGTAAATGAATGCTGGGCATGTGATGCATGCCTTTAATTCCAGCAGAAGCAAGTAGATCTATGTGAGTTCCAGGTCAACTAGGGCTGCATACTGACATTCAAAAAATTTAAATGAACAAAAAAGGACTGGAGATAGAGCTCAGTGATATATCACTTGCCTAGCCAGTGCAAGGCTCCATGTTCAATTCCTAGAACTGAAAAAAATAAATAAATAAACAATCAAACAAGTTAATTTCATTAGAAATTAATACTTAGAAGAATTTCAAGAAAGCCAGGCTTGACAGCACACACCTTTAATATCAGCACTTGGGAGGCAGAGACAGGAGGATCTCTGCGTTTGAGCCAACATGGTCTACAAAGTAAGTTCAGGAAAATCAAGGCTGTTACACAGAAACCCTGTCTCAGAAAAAAAAAAAAAAGAAAGAAAGAAAGGAAGGAAGGAAGGAAGGAAGGGAGGAAGGAAGGAAGGAGGGAAGGAAGGAGGGAAGGGAGGAAGGAGGGGAGGAGTGAAGGGAGGAAGGAAGGAGGGAAAGAGGGAAGGGAGGAAGGAGGGAAGGGAGGAAGGAAGGAGGGAAGGAAGGAGGGAAGGGAGGAAGGAGGGAAGGGAGGAAGAAAGGAGGGAAGGGAGGAAGGAAGGAGGGAAGGGAGGAAGGAAGGAGGGAAGGGAGGAGGGGAGGAGGGAAGGGAGGAGGGGAGGAGGGGAGGAGGGAGGGAAGGAAGGAAGGGAGGAGGGAAGGGAGGAAGGAGGGAAGGGAGGAAGGAGGGAAGGGAGGAAGGAGGGAAGGGAGGAAGGAAGGAGGGAAGGGAGGAAGGAAGGAGGGAAGGGAGGAGGGGAGGAGGGAAGGGAGGAGGGGAGGAGGGGAGGAGGGAGGGAAGGAAGGAAGGGAGGAGGGAAGGGAGGAAGGAGGGAAGGGAGGAAGGAGGGAAGGGAGGAAGGGAAAAAAGAAAGGAAGAAAGAGAAAAAATGTAAAGGCACCGCCATGCTGTGTTGTTGACAGAAGCGTTAGAAAAGGCTTCACTGGGCACCTAACATCTGAACTGAGACGTGTAGGTCATGGACCAATCATTTCAAGAGATGGGACCAGTGTGTACTTGCAGAGAGACCACCAAAGGTAAAGTTCTCAGATAAGAATAAACTAGTCCAATTCCAAGAACAGAAAGAGCAGTGCAGATGGGTGGAGAGAAGAAAGGAGACAAGGGGGAGATGAGGTCAGAGTGCATGGAACCTCTAAGATCAGACTGAGAATCTCATTTTAATCAAATGCAATGAGAAGGCATGGGATGTTAAATACAGTATCAACAAGCACATGTTCATCTTATAAAGAGCATTCAAGTGTCGGGTGCAGTATGGACCACAGCTGAATACTTAATATATTCTGACTTCTAAACAAAGATGTCTATGTAGAGTCTGTCATTATTTCAAAAACACTGGCCAAAAAATGAGAAACAAATTTATAGTGACAATTATCTTTTACATTTGTACAGTACCCTAGTTAGGACAATGTACAAAGTAAAAACCAGACTTGAGCCTACTCTTCCTATGCAAGGAAACCAATGTAGACAGTGACAATGACAGCAGCATTATTAGGGGATGTAAGATACCTTACCAAGCTGGTTCTTCATCCCCATGAGCACAGAGTTCATGTGTGCTTTGGATGCATAGAGCTTGCTCACGGCCTTCCTTGACCTGATCATCTCCTTGGCCAGAACCACACAGACATCCTTTTGGCCCTTCTTGGCTGCATCTTTCACAGACCGTTTTACTTTCTCCTCTTCTCTTTGGATATCTAAATTTAGAGCAGAACATCAAAAACCATGGGTAGAGGCTGGAGAGATGTTTCTGCAGTTTCAGCAGATTGATTCTCAATCTTGAAACCAGAGTTCAGAACCCAGGATCCACAGCAGGATGCTCAGAATGCCTCTACCTTCAGCTCCAAGGAATCTGACACCCTTTTTTGGAGTCTTTGGACACCCACACACATATACATACATATACATACACACAAACACAAACACACACCCAATGAGGGAAGGGCAAATCAGGCCTGGTAGCACTCAAACTGTTTTTATTACCATCTAAATGTATATAAATAGAAAATTATCACAGGATGTAAAGAAAATAAAAATAATGCGTGAGAATTCATTTTGAACAAGACTAACACAGTTTGACAATGAACAGTAGTACAGTACCTGAAGACCTTTTTAGAAATCTTTTGTGAGCCTGCTCTACCACTGCTCAGTACATATCTATACTAAGAAGCTTCAGATTGCACTGTGCATGTATCCCAGAGCTAATCACAGAGTATGCAGCTTTCTTACAAATACTGGAGTACAACCTCTGAACAATAATTGTTATAACGTGGGAAAACCCGAACACATTAGAGCATTGTATCAGCATCAACTAGAGTTTAGACAACTCTGTATTATTATATTTTTCATAACGAGTAAAAACTTCTGAATTTTAAAACTATGGCAAAATACACATAATATAAATTACCATCCTAAACATTCCCAACTGTAAAATTAAATAATGATCTGGGCCGGCAGGTCATTCTTCAGTGACAGGGTCCTGAGAGAGAGGACCAGGATACCAGAAGATAGAGAACACAATGAAGTTTGTGATCAGGATATCTTGCACAAGCTATGTCTTAAGCCAAGCAAGCTTAAAGTACTGCACCTTATATATTACTTGGGGGAGAAATGAAGCAGCAGAAACTATCACACAGTAGGTCCAGTCAGCAAGAGGCTAATCAAACAACATTGCACTATCACACAGTAGGTCCAGTCAGCAAGAGGCTAATCAAACAACATTGCACAAAGGGAATTTAGGATATCGCAAGAACATTACGAACAGAGCATACAATGGCCCTGGAAAGATTAAACAGTGCCCCTTGTGGTGGGAATAACTGGTTTCTCAGGATCTGAAACCAAGCTCCCTCAAGGACCCAGCTCAGCCACTTCCTGGTTTTAGAGAAGCAGCTGTATTCCTTCTCTACATATCAGGGTCTCAGGCTATTATTGGCTGGGTTAAGTGCGTTCCTAGTTTTCACTAGTTTTGAGAAAGAACTGTGTTCCTTTTCCATACTATAATGGCTTCTGGGAAGCCTCAGCTCATGAGTCCAGCTCTCAACGCATTCATATGGCTGTACAACCATCACTACATTTCATCCTTAGAACACAAAGTCTACATCTATTAACTAACTTTCCATTCTCCCCTCTTCTCAGTCTCTGGCAAGTAGCCCTCTACTGTCTTAGAAAGTGACTATTTGTAGTTACCTGTTGTAGACTGAGTTTCTGTTCTGCCTGGTCCCACAGCCATTTGGCCCCAAATAAACACAGAGATTTTAAACTGTTTGGCCGATGGCTCAGGTTTCTTATTGGCTAGCTCTCTCTTAATTATTAACCCATTTCTACTAAATGATGTATTGCCACGTGGTCTCAGCTCATCAAAGAATGCTCCAGTATTATTACTCTTTCACTGGCTACATGACATCTCCCTGGCAGCTTCTCTCTATCCTCTTCCCAGAATCCTCCTTGTCTCCTAGCCCAGCCTATACTTCCTGCCTCACTCCTGGCCAATCATCACTTGATTCATCACCCAATAAGAGAAACATATATATAGGACATCCCCCAGTCACCTTTTGAATGTGGAATAGGGCAACATTAGTACTTTTCTGATTTTACTTAACATATGTTCTCTTTTTATTCACAATTCAGCTTGCAACTATTTTGTGTTGTGTAACATACTTTTTTTTCTAATCTTATAAAAACATCAGCTATGTTATGTTTGACTAATTCTGTCATACAAATATCTCTTCAAGACCCTGCCTTCAATTGTTTGTGTGTATACCCAAAAGGAGAATTGTTGGGTCATATGGTAACTCTTTGGGGGGGGGGGAGCACAGGGTCTCTCTACATAGACTGACCTCAAACTCCCAACTGCTTCAAGTAAAGGTGTGTGCTACCATGCCAGACCTCACAGCCCTATTTTTAATTTCCTCCGGAGCTACTCTACAATTTCCAAAGTGTTTGCACTGTTTTATGTTCCTATTAACGGTACACAGGAGATCTAATTTCGCCATATCCTTGCCAACACATGTTGTTTCCTGTTTTTGTTTGTTTTTGTTTTGCTTTTGGAACAGTTATGCTAGGTACACAGTAGTATTACCTCGTGGCTGCCTTACAGTTCCTTAATGTCTTGAGTGGTTTCTCACTGGTACAGTCCCCTTGGAGAAATGTCTCTTCAAAGAATTCCCCTATTTCTGAATAGTTTTGAGCTCCAGGTGTTCTCTGTATACTTTTAGAGATATATGACTTACAAATATTTCCTCCCACTGTACAGGCTACTTAGCATTTTTATTTATTTTTGTTGTTTCTGTCTGAGATGGGATCTCTCTACAGAGTCCTGGCTGTTTTGGAACTCACTATGTACACAGGTCACAGGCGCTCTCCTGGTTTAGTTGTCATTTTTTTTTTTTTTTTTTTTTTTTTTTTTTTTTTGGCAATGGAGTTTGAATAGTTTGTGTTATTATCTTGAATTTCTTTGATCTCCCATTGTATAGTGGCTAATCTGCTGTTGTGTCCATTTAGTAAAGTTTCCCACTATTTCAGGAGTCACACTTTCTTTTCCGCATCTTCTATTTAGGTCATCTTGCTTATGGCTTTGCTTTAAATTCTGCAGCATATTTACTATCCTTTGTTATGAGTATGTTTTCCCCGCCACCAGTCCCACAGCCATGCCTGCCCCTTTCTTAGCTTTGGAAATTGTTCAGCTTAAAACTTCCCAGTAGTTGTTCTGCTCCCATTAGTCATTCCTTGTCCAGCCTCTGTAAATATCACTGTAGTGATATCTTGTTTGTACTCTACAAATAAAGCTTGCTTGGGGATCAGAAGGTGGAGCTAGCCACTAGTTAACCACAGAGGTCTGTACAGAGAGTCAGGAAGTGATATGGCTGGGCAGAGAGAAGCGATAAGGCAGGAGGAGGCAGGAGCTCAGTCTCTTTTCAGCTGGGAAGTTGAAGAGGTAAGGTGTGGCTGTGGCTTGCTCCTTCGTCTCTCTGATCTCTCAGTATTTTCCCCTATATTTGACTCTGGGTTTTTATTTTTAAAACCTATTAGAACTCGTGCTACATCTCTCCCTAAGTAAGCACAGATCAGTGTTCAGCCAGACTCAGAACCAGGGAGCTATCTGGAGGTCTTTCCCTGGTTCTACTCCTTTTCTCTATTACTCCGCACCACATATTTTAGCCTTGCTCACCCCTGATATCCAAGTCTTCAACTCAATGAGACCACCATGCTCTTTCTGGAATCCTTCCCATGTGCCACATTCAGGAAAGTATTCCTAGACAGAAAATCAAGAGTATGAGGGCTCTCTTTCTGTTTTAAATCTTAATACACAGAGTCATCTGTCCAGTGTGGAACAGGGTTGTTTCATAGTTGTCTTGTTCAAACTTTCATTTACAATTGAAGCAGAAGTGTAAGACTAAAATCAATTATTGAAGCTGGGAATAGAATTCTCATCCCTAATTCTTTTTTAAAGTTGTGATGCTGTAATACTGGACACTTTCCTGGTTTTAATCTTTTCTATTCATGAAGGTATTTTTAAAAGTCTTTTAAGAAGAGAGAGGGCTGGTTGGTGGCAGTGCACGCCTTTAATCCCAGCACTTGGGAGGCAGAGACAGGTGGATCTCTGCGAGTTCGAGACCAGCCTGGTCTACAAGAGCTAGTTCCAGGACAGAGAAATCATAAGAAGAAGAAGGAGGATGAGGATAATAGAACCCCTATAAAAGGAGTCAGGGGAATATGGATGTTTAAGGAAGGATAGAGCAGGTCCAGAGAGGAATACAGGGGATTAGCCAAAACTAAGGCTGTAAAAACTCTTAGAGGAACTACTTTGCAAGCTAATTAGGTAGGGCATGGCAGTGCTAGCCTTTAATCCCAGCACTTGGGAGGCAGAGGGAGGAAATATGTGAGATTGTAGCAAGCCTGGTCTACAGAGGGAAGACAGCCAGGGCTATACAGAGAAACCCTATCTTAATAAACAACAACAAAAATGTTTAAGGCATTTAAATGAAGATAGCGGGCATGAATGAACAATACTTCTCCCAGGAGACATGAATTAGTAAATAAAAATCTCAGTGCCAGGCTTGCTGTGGTAACAGGAAGACCCCAGAAGCATTAAAAACAACACAAGCTATCTTTTTGGCTCTCTGCCAGAACTAGAATGGTAATTTAAGACTTTACTGCTGAGGCATGAAATATTTTAGCTAGAACACACAGAGGAATCAAGCTGGAACTGACCTGAAAACTTCCTCCCTACTGGCTAGCTTCAAGTGATGGAAAAGGCTATGCAGGCCACTTGGAGTGGAAAGGAAGCCATCAATATCATTATCCAGCAGCAATCCTGCATACTACAATACTCACCTACCAGGCAAGACATCAGCACTAGTTTAACAGTGGGGTAACCAATAGCTTTGGGGTTGTAGCTGACATTTGATGCATAGGAGGAAATTCACACCTGGTACTTTAAACCTGGGTCCCTTGACTTAAGATGTCTAAGCCCTACAGAGAAACTTCCTCCTGATGATCATGTTGACAGATGGGTGCCGCCCTCTACCTTGGCCTCATAACTTGGAACTCAAAATTAGTCCAAGTACGGAGAATAAATGACTATGGAGTGTTCAGCTAAATGGGACAGCTATTTCAACACCCCATCCAAAGTTCTGGGAATATATCAGAAGAATGTGGAAAGAATGTAAGCATGTGGAGGAATACTGAGGAATGTCTTCTGGACATGGCATGGCTATTGCACACATAAACTCACTATAGCTATGGATGCCTGCACAGACCTGCACAAGGTCAGGCCAACAAAGGCAGTCAGCATTCCAGCAGATGGTACTAACTGGACTGCATGGATTACAATGGGTGTGGGGTGTAAATATAAATATGAAGTGAGGGAAGATGACAGGGATTCCCTGAGGTGAATGGGAGGGGGATCAGGATGAGTATAATCAATATACATTGCTTATATGTATGACATTATCAAAATATATAAAACTTTAAAAAACAACTTTAGTTTAAGCATTACCATTTCTTGGTCACTTACCTTAATTTTAATCGGTACTAAAAAAAGTAACTTTCATTCAGAAATGTATTGTTCCCGATTTAAAGCTATGTTGAAATTTGCAGAGAGTAGAGATAATAAGATTGCATTGTTTTCTTATGCACAATTTATTTAAAATTCATAGAGGACTTTTGTTTACAAGCATCAAGAGCTTTCTCTTAGTCTTACAATATAGTGTATTTCAATCATTACCTTTTCTATATTAAGCAAAGGATTAGAAAACAAAATAATGAGAATATTTACACATAATTTAGTTTGGGGATGAACTGTGTCTTATAATGTATGGATAAGTTTACATTTATGTGCTAAAGTGAAATATAGCATTAGAATATAGAAAACGAAACATAAAGTAGCAATTTACATAAAGTAGCAATTTACCTCTTATTTGCCTGTCAACAACTCTCATTTCCTTTCTGATCTTCAATGACCATTCATTGACCTGGGGAAAATTTTAGATAGGGAATTATCAGAGAAGCAAACACTCCTAGCAAAATTTGCACATTTTTAGGAATTCTACATTGAGTTTAGACATGAGTTTTTGACTTTTAATTTTGAAGACAGATCTTTAGGGCCTGCTCTTTTCTTTACAGTACATAGGCACTCCACACTGTTTAAAGGCTGGCAGGGAGGGAGAGCCCTGTACAGAAGACTCTGGTACACAAGTGTTTTTCACATGGGGCATGGGCAAAGACAGTCTTAGGACATCCGAAGACTTTCATCATTCACACATAATTATTTTAAAAACTACTCTGCCTGTATACTGGGAACTCATCTTTTTAAATGCCAATTTTCTTCCTATCAGGTTAAAACCTCTGAGGCACTAAATGTAGCTAACTGGAGATAGTAGTGTAGGTAACTAATAGCATTCTCATCCAAGTGAACTGTTTACAATTCTTCATTTTTTTTTTTTTTTTCTCAAGAAACACTGAGGAAAATCTGAGGTATCAAGCTTATGGATCATTAAAAGTAAAATTTCTATAAATGACTGTGTGCTTTTTGGCACATGACTGAGAAGATCTGAGTGACTCTGCTCCTTCAATACCCTTCTCTGTTACCAGCTACCTACCAAAAGGTTTTACAGTACTTAAATCTAATGAAAAATTCTACATTAATTCTAGAGGATCCTGTTACCTCATCCCCAGATACATGAATTAAACTGCATTTAAAATTCTCTATCATTAGAAGATACATTTCCATTAAATTTCAAGTTTAACATTTAATAATTACTTACCAAAATCTGCAAAATATTTACAACAATAATGACGCCACTGAACAAGAGTGCTTATAACCCCTGGGGGGACAGATGTAAGTGGATCTCTGGAGTTTCCTGGGCAAGCCACCTTAGCCAAATGGTGGGCTTCAAGTTTAATGAGCTTTTAGGTTCAGTCTCAGACAGAAAGTGACAAAACAGGACACCTGAAATCCTGTTCTGTTATATGCACAGGCATGGCACACACACACACACACACACACACACACACAAACATAAATAGAACTATAAGGCAATACCACTTTAAAATTATTAATGAGGGTAGGTTTATGTACATTTTAAGTGAAATTCATATAATATGCAATTAATAATATTCAAGTATGTAACTGATGTAAATTAGCACAACTTGCCATCAATCCTTAAAACTTTTTCATCATCTTGGAACACAGGAAGCACCTTAAATAACCCCTTACCTCCCCATCCACCAATTCCTTGGCAACCAATAATTTGCTTTCTGTCTTTATAGAATTGGTTATTCTGAATATTTCATATACAAGTATTCATATAATGTGTGACCTCTGGTTCCAGATCTTTCATCTCATAGCTTGTTTTCAAGGTTTACCCATGTTGTGGCATGTATGAGTATGTCAATCTTTTTTAAGTCTCACTTTCATTCCATTATATGTACACAACACAAGTTTATTCATCTATTGATGCCCATCTAAGTTTGCTGTTGCCTTTGGCTCTATTTATGTACAAATAAAAAAATGCCAGTTTAACTGGACTGAGGCAGCCCAGATGACACTTAGCATTTTACATGCATCCAGATGATTGTAATATTCTTTTAGAGTTAAGAATCACACACTTGGATTTCTCCTCCCAGTCTGTGTGTGTGTGTGTGTGTGTGTGTGTGTGTGTGTGTGTGTGTCTGTCTCTCTTACTCACTCGCTCCCTCTCTGCCCAGAAGTCCCACCTATACCCCTGCCTAGCTATTGGCCATTCAGCTTTTTATTACAGCAATCACAGCAATGCATCTTCACACAGTGCACAAATATCCCACAACACATCCCATTTAGAACTGTGTGCTCAACAGCACTGCCATTATAAGAGAAATGGCAGATTTCTGGTTCCAGGATGGGAACATACAAATCACACCAAAATATACATTATAGTAGAAAGCAAGGAAGCATTCAAAGAGCATTAGATTACGTTAAAAAGAGGCAGAAACTGTTTACCTACCAAACTTGTATTTCAGCACCACATAAAATAATGGGAAAAGTGACTGTAACATACAAAACAATCTACTAGACTAAATGGCACTGGAGAGAAAAAAATATGTCACATCTCTGGAAACCATTATCGATCCCTTATTCTAAATATCAGTGATTAATGAAAAAAAAATCAATTGAGCACTTACTCCTCTTGCCTTAAGCACAAAGTATTTGCCCAGGTAACCACATGAGCCTAACGTGAGGACCATCTTTATTGAAGACTGTCAGCTGGCAACTAAGAAAGGAATGACAGAATCTGAAGGAAATCATCAACCAGAAAACCACTCAAAGTCAGTTGATTTAGAAAGAAGGTACAGATAGTGCTCAGGCATTTAAGAGGAAGAGTTAATGAGGCTGCATAGCCAGTCCAGTAACACCAAGGTAGCATCCCCTCATGTTACATGCTAGTGCTAAGAGGAAAATTCCTTACACCAAGGGTATTGAATTTATCAGAGCAAAGCAAAACAAAACCCTGACACAAAGCAGGCATGTCCCAGAACCAGAGCAAGTTCTGAGAACGCCAACCAATAATATGATAAGATGGCATTCGGAGAAAAATGGGAGAACCAGAAAGCAAGACAAGTACTACAGCTTCATTAACTAGTCAACTGGTTACCACTTTGCTAATTAATTGGCTGCAGCATTTCTTACAAGTAATCAAACCATGATTAAATTATACTGGTTTGGTAAACTCTAATGTGTCAATGCAGATATTCATCCCAAGTCCATGGCCTCCCACAAAAGGGAAACTGTAACAGATTACCTAGGTGACATGACCTGACGCAGGTGACCATACTAACAGCCAAGCATAGTGGTACACACCTGTAATACCAGCATTTAGAAGGATCCTAGCCTGAGTTACATGATGTCTTAGTTTGGTTTATACTGTTATGATAAACATCTTGACCAAAAGCAACTTGGGGAGGAAAGGGTACTTTTCAGCTTATAGCTTCAGTGCATCACAGGGAGAAGTCAAGGAACTTGGAGGCAGGAACTTTAAACAGAGGCCATGGAGGACATCCAGCACTACCTGCCTAGGGGAGGCAGAGAGCTAGGCCCTCCCACACTCATCATTAATCAAGACAAAACCACACAGACTTGCCTACAGGCAACTCCCCAATTGCAATTTCCTCCACCCAGATATGTCTAAGTTTGTGGGAAGTTGATAAAAACCACCCAGCACATGCAGCAAGACCCTGTCCACAACCAAACAAAATGAGACTATTCATATGCCTTCTGGTGTAATATGCTCTAAATAGTAAACGAGTCTTTTCTATCATATACTAATAAAACTTGTGTTTACAACAATGAATTCAAATTTTTTAAGCTTCCCTACCTTGTAAGTCTTTTATACAAATGTTTCAGTCTCCCACACACCAGGTAATCTTTGTTTACACTAAGGCCACCTGCTGTATTCCAGGAATTAGATGGAGGAGTGACCCTTCGCATTCCTCATTTCCTGTAAGGCAGTTCTTTCCAGTCTAGCTAACTGAGTGAAGACTGTGAAGTTAGAACCCAGCAGAAGACACAGTCACCACCTGAGAATAAAAACCAAGAGCTCTTCTTTTCTCTGTGGGCTCAGTCTCCTGAGCACACCTTCTGGATCAAGAATGAGGTTTACCTTGTCCAGACACTGAAAACTTCAGCTGAAATGGTGGTTTCTTTCATTTCCACCCAGAACTTATTTTTAACATGATCTAGTTCACAGCTTCCTTGGGAGGCATTCTTGCTATAAAACCGTTTAACTTGGATCTCATCAAGCTTACATCAAACTTCCATTTCATAGAAAATGACACAGGAGAAAAAGCTAAGCACAAGACACAGACCATGCAAAATGGTCAGTCAACTCCAAGGTCTGCTCTTTTACAATGTTATTTTTCTTTAATGCAGGGATTAAATTTAAAAAATCAATGTGCTAGGCAGTGGTGGTGCATGCCTTTAATCCCAGCACTCAGGAGGCAGAGACAGGCAGCTCTTTATAAGTTTGAGGCCAGCCTGGTCTACTGAGTGAGAGCTCCCAAAGCTACAGAAAAACCCTATCCCAAATAAATAAATGCATGGTAATGTCTCAGAAACTCTACAACACCCAGACTTTTCCCTAAAATCTTTGTTTTCTGAGTAACTCCCCAGTCTGGTCTCAAACTTTTGTCTTCAGGAATATTCCTTCCCCAGCCACCCAAGTAGCCTAACTACGAGCAAGCCCCCTGCACCTCTTAAAACCTTCTAAGAGCACTCACCTGTGACATTTTTGTCAGCAGTGTAAAATTGAACTTGTGGAGCTTAAATTAGATAAGCACTCGTAACATTATGGAACATTATGTAGACGCCTATTTTGAGGTATTTGTATACTCTTTGAGTATACAATTTACTAGTGTGTGAACTTAGCTTTGTCACCCATAAATCCAGACAGAGTCTAAAGAAAACAGTCTCGTGACTATTTAAATTTATGTCTGGTATGTGCATAAATTCGTTATTTTAAATGAGAAATGTAACTGCTAAGAACGCGATGTTAATTTCTCTTCCACTAGAGTAACCATCTAAGAAATAGAACACGCACCAGAAAAATGGCAGAGCTGAATGAGACCGGCTCGACAGCTATACTGTAACTAAACAGGATCTGAGGGACAAGTCTGGGTGCTGTAGAAACTATGCTTCTGAAACATGAGGTCACAGTCAGAATTCAAAATCTGATCTGGAAGGTCTGTAATGGGACCCAGCAAGCCTACTATGCTCGGGTGTTGCTATTGCTGTTGGTGGTGATCTGTGTTTTGGGTAACAAGGCACCTTCACCAGCTCAAGCTTCACATCTTTTAATGGTCAATCACCGCAGTAGCACTATTTGACAGGTCGCAGAGTCAAGAAAGTAGGACCCAAACGTAGGCTGATTCTTGGTTCCCCGAGTAACTCAATCTATGGGCAGATCGCGGAGTGTAGGGCAGGTCCAGAACTATTTTCGGTAGCACGGCCACGGGTCGGGTCCTCGGAGGTAAACGGGAGCGGGGCTTCCCTGCACACAGAGGTGAGTGAAGAACGCACTACGGGCGCCCGGACCCGCCGGGGTCCCTGACCCGGTCCACCGTGGAAAACCTTCCGGTCTGGGGCAGGTCCTCAGGGTGGTCGGCGGCCCGGCGGACCTGAGGGGGCGGGGCCTCCGCGTGAGAAAGGTTCCGGGCGGCCGGTACCACCGCGCGCAGGGGGAGCGGCCTCCCAGGGCCCGGCTGTGTCGCGCCGCGGCGCCGGGGCAGCGAGGCCGAGTCGCTGCTAACCTGGCCCTTCGCGCTCCAGCCGGGTGCCGAGCAGCGGGTGCGCGCTCGTCCTCCCAGCCCGGCGCCAAACGCCTCCCTCGGCCCCTGGCCGAGTGGAAGGCCCCGGAAATAGGGGCCAGCCTGAGAGCGCGGCCGCCCGTGCCCGGCTCCGCCGCCCGGCGCGCAGGCTCCCCGGCCGCTCGCCCTTACCAGCTCCTTGGGAGGCTTCTCCTGGGTCTTCCCGAACAGCCCCATGACGAACTGGACTCCTCTCACCCCTTCCGACTTCCCGTTCCCTGCGCCCAGGCAGGTCACGGGCAGCCGCCTGGGCGGGGCCGCAAAGAAGGGAATCGAGACGCCCGGAGAAGGGCGCGGCGGCAGCTGGGGTAGTGCGCACGCGCGCTGCGCACGCGCGGAACTGCCTAGGCGGGGTTTATGGTCCCGGTGTGACGCCACTGCGCGAGTTAAGGGCGCTTGAGTGTAGAAGTGACTGTGTTTATTGACTGCGTTCGAAACCTGTTATGCCAGAAATCTGTATCTCAACGCTGTCACGCATATTTACAACCACTTCCCACATAATTGTGGGTGGCTTCCCCTAAGTCTGGGAGTCACCTCACATGCTGCAAACCTACCCTCCTCTCGACACCTAACTCAAAAAAAAAAAAAAAAAACGATCATCGTCTTCTTTCCTCTTTTTAGGAAGTTCTAACTTTTCATGGAGTCAAAATTTCAGCCCTCTCGTTCCATCCCAAGTGTGGAAGCGTTTCTTCAGACTGCCATCCTTTTTAGATCTGTAGCAGTGATCTATGCTGAAGCCCTACAAGAGGAGATAGATATAACTGATCATAGCATTAGTTTCGCTTCTAAGATTAACGTTTAACATACCTGCAGGTGTCAGAGCTGAAGCTAACTTCTGAAAAAGAGATAACAAAGGACTTCCGTTCTGCACCTATCAAAGAAATGGATTTATAGACAAGGAGCTATGCAGGAGAACGTGGGTCCACGGGAAGAGCAGGAAACGCTCTTAAATGCGGAGCCACTTCTCCAGCCTCACCTTAACTTTTTTCTGGGTTTTTTTTTTTTTTTTTTTTGGTAGAACTAAGTAACTGTTCTCTAACAGAACAGAGCATCCCGGGTCCCTAGTCTGTTTCCTCTGGGAAGGGACCAGTTAGTGTATCTTACAGTTAAATCTTCATATGTTCTAGCTTTTGTATCATAGCTTTCCATAAATCGTAATTTGACCTCTGGCAGGGTGGGAAGGAAATCAGACACCTTCCATTTTGGCCAGACTGTTGATATGTCCCTTTTTCTTCACAACTTCATTTTTTAAAATGAATTTCATACATGAATGTAATGTTTTCAAATTGATTTCCCCAACTCCTTCCTTGCCCTTTATTGATTAGTGTTTCCTAATTTCTTTTAAAATACAAAAAAAAAAAAAAAAAAAAAAAAAAAAAAAACCTAAACCTGCTAGTTTAACTAAACCTGCTGTGATCCACTTCCTCTTACGGAGTCACCCAGATGGTCACAGGATAGGGAAACAAAGATTTCTGGTCTACCTCTCTACCTCTTCGGGTGGATATTGAGTTCTTCCTGAGCCTGGGTCTTCCTTGTGTTTTGTCAGTGTCCGTTTGTTTATTCTGCACTGGTTAGATACCCTGTTGTTTTGGTTGCAGAACATGCAGACAGAGCTTTGTTTACTTCTGTTTGCTTTCAGAGCATTTGTTTGTTTGCTAGCAACTGAACCTTTTCCTCCTGCCACTCCTCCAGCAACTAATTCCAGTTGCTTTTAGCAAACTTGTCCCTTTTAATTTAGAAAGTCTATCAGTGCCTGACCACAAAGACACTGGTGATAGAGGTAATTGTTCCCTCTCACCCAGCAAGGGGAATGTGGGACACCTCTCCCCAGCATGTGCAGTAACCTTAAAGAGAAGCCAAAGACAACAGACCCAAACTCTGGTTGAAAGGAACCATATTGGCTTAACCGGGAAGACATCACATAGGCAATGACCACAATGTCTTCAGCCCCTCTACGTCCAATAAATTTACAGGGTACATCTGAGATGCTGTGAAGAACTGACCTTGCAGTGAGACATAATGTTTGTTTTGTGTCCTTTTATACTTTAAATTGGTATATGTTCATTTTACAAAATCATGATGCTTCCATATGAAGGAATCACCTGGTTTGTTCATATTCACCCCATTAACTGTTATTTTCTCTCCAGTGGTTCCCTTCCTACCCCTAAAGAGTCTCACATGAAAGTATTTTCATGACATGCAAACACACACACACACACACACACACACACACACACAGGAACTGGATTCTACATATGAGAGAAAATGTGATGCATGTACTTTTGAGTCTGGTTTTCTTTTTCATTTGTTGGTTTGCTTGCTTAAAATGAGGTTCTCCAGTTCTATACATTTCCCCAGGCAATTGATTTACTTTTATTTTTCTTTGTGGCCTAGGTAAAACTATATTGAGGATCTGTGTCCACTCGTCTGCTGGGGGACATCTAGACTGACTTTGTAAAGCAGCTATTTGACCATTGCCTACAAGCACCTCTTTAGTGGGCTAACTTAGATTGTTCTGAATATGTGTCTAAAAGTAGTGACACTGGATCTATGGTACCTTTGTTTATTTTCTGGAGTTCCTCAATACTGATGTCAGTGGTGGATACTCTGTTCTATTCCCACCAATACTGTGTAATACTCCCCCACTGCATCTATGATAGCGTGTGTTGATTTCCTAGATGAGGACCTTCCCACCTGGAGTGAGATGGAATCTCAGTGAAGTTTTAATTTGCAGGGATGTTGACATTTTTTCACCTATGTGAGAACTCTGTTCAATTCATTTGTCTATTTATTGATTGAGTAGGATGTGCTTCCCTTGATTTGATGTGTGAGTTTAATTTTTTAAAATCTCAGTGTTGTTTGTTGGGACAAAGTCTCACTACATAACCCTGACTGGCCTGGAACTCACTATATAGACCAGGCTGGCCTCATCATGGAGGTTTGCCTGCTTCTGCCTCCCCATTGCTTGGATGAAAGGCTGGTGTCACCATGCCTGGATTAATTTTTTCGAGTTCTTTATATATTCTCATGTAGAAAGGACAAAGCTTTTACTCCCATTGTCTAGGCTATCTCTTTGGTCTTTGTTATACAAAAGCTTTCATTTCATTCAGTTCCATTTGCCATCATTTGCCAGTTTTGTACTTATTTCCTGGATGGTCGTAATCCTCTTCAAGAACACTTGGCCTATTCCCATGTTTTGAAAATTTTTCCAATATTTTTCTCTAGAAAATTCCTAGTTTCAAGTCTCATAATAAGGTTCTTGATCCATTTGGGATTTAATTTTGTTCAGGGCAAGATACAGGGATACGTTTTATTCTTCTGTGTGTGGCTATCCATTTTCTCAGCACTATTTGTTGGGAAGAGGCAGTCTTTACTAATATATGCTTTGGGCACTAGGTAACTGTACCTGTGTGTGTGAGCTTCCTTCTGGATTCTCTCTTGTAGCCCATTGCTCTGTATGCTTGTTTTGGTCCCAGCATAAGGCTGTTTTTATCCCTATGCACTCATAATGTGATTGGAAACACTCAAGCTTTGCTCTTTTTATTGAGAATAGCCTTGACTAATTTTGTGTCCTAAAGATGTTATGTAACAGCTTCCACCCATACTGAAACAGTTTATCCTATAGAGAAGCTCCATTAACAAGAAAGGTAAACAAGTCAAAATAGCTTCAGGAAGTCCCTGAAACTGATCAGATTCACTAAGCTCCTCACTTCCAGAGAAAGCCTTAAAAGCTGCAAAGAAGACTCCCAGGCAAGCTAAGCTGTAAAGACAACTCACAGACCAGACCAGCTGCCTAGAAGAGATGTTGTTCAGCTCAGTAATTTGGAAAGAACACTCTCCAATCTGTTGAGTTTCTGCAGGCTATGCCCCAGGTTCCCAGCTTTGTGAGCTCTCATGCAGGAATGCTGGGGTGGGCTTTGGTAATGCAGCTGTCTTTGAGTCATTTCTGAAGGAAACCAGAGTGGTTTTCTCCTGAACTCCGGATTAGGCACAAACTACACCCAAACACCTGTTTTCATAAAGAGATCCTTTATTAAGCTGGAAGAAAAATTAAAGTGATGGCTTTCTGACTTGGACAGAAAAAACAGCAGCAAATGATCTTGCAGGTGTAATGTTAAGGAGGTCTGTGTCAGAAAGGTCTAGGATGTAGTGGTAAAGAAAATAGGGGACAGAGGAGAAGGGGAAGGGGACAAGGGAATGTGATGGGAGATGTCATTCTGTAAATATGTTTCCGTTACTGGTTAATGAATAAAGCACTGTTGGCCAATAGGAAAGCAAGATAGGCGGGACTAGGAGACTAGGAGGAAAGAGGAAGAAGTAGGGAGGAAATTCAAGATGTAGGAAGGAGAGAGCAGAACTCCAGATCCTCTCTCCCGTAAGATAAGACCACGCGGAAATACTTAGATTAATAGAAATGAGTTAATATGTAAGACAGAGCTAGCCAATAAGAAATGCTAGTAACATGCTAACAGCTTTATATCTAATACAGCGTCTCTGTTATTTGGGGCTGGCATGGTGGTGGGACCAGGCCATCGGGAAAACCAACTCATAACAGGAATGGGAGAAAAAGTGTTTGTCCCAGAGGGACAAAGGACTCCCTTTGGATAGTGAGGGTACAGACAAGGCACATAGGAAAAACGGTAGTTTATAAAGGTAAAGTGGGGGGGGGCATGTTAGGATGTTAGGGTGTGATGTTTTATTTTAAATTGGGCATGTTAATTAGGTGAACCAAAGAGGGTTTTTCATTGTTGGATTTCAGTACTTTGATAGCTAGACTTTTGTAGCCAGCCTTGGGAGGAGAAAGTAGCAAAATAAAGGAATAGACCTTGGTGTCTAGCTTTAGGAATGTAATCTAACATGTTAGTTTTTAGCAAGGCAGAGGGAATGGGAGAGAAGGGCAAGGCCTGCCAGAGCCTCATGCTCAAGTGGGCTAGTGAACCTTAAATTTCTGCTCCTAAGAGTAGCCCTACCTATATTATTGTAAGTAACCCCAATAAAACTCTGGTTCACCAAGTTAGACTTTGGTGGGATCGATATTTTGGGCTTCCTGTCTGAGGTGGGTAGGTGCGAGTGTTTTACTCCCCAGGAAAAGTTTTACCACACAATATGAATCTTAGGATTTTTTTCCTAGTTCTTTGAACAATGTCACTGTAATTTTGATAGGAATTGGATTGATCAGTTGAAGTAACAGCCATTTTCACAATATTAATTCTTTGGACTCATGAGCATGAACACTTTTCCTTCTTTAATGTCTCCTTCAATTTCCCGCAAAGGTCTTTCATTTCCTTGGATAGTGTCTTA